GGCAGGTAAAACGTGTTGTGGGATCAGACATGATGTTGTGATAATTACTTGTCCTGCCAGAGGAAAAAAAATCTAAAAAGCAAGAAATTGAGTATATGTAAAATGTCATTTTGTGTTTGTTTCTCACCAGCTGCGATCACACAGGTTTGTTTTTGGACACTTGCAGAATCTGCATTCTCCACACTGAGAGATGAAGAGTGGAATGACCTTATCACCTGTTCAACACAATACACAGATGTATTCATTTATTTTACTTGCATAAAGAATGCATCTCAATCAGCTCTCTAGCTTATAGATAGTGAATCAGTATATCGTGTACATGAATTCAGGCACTGTAAAGGAACTGCGACACGTCCTCATTGTAGACCATCACTCCTGCTGGCATTTATGAACAACTGCAGAACTGATATCTTTCTGATATTAATTTTTAATGTTATTTACATAGTTTGCTTGTTACATATGTGTGTAACATTTCAGCTGTAAATAAATGATAAATGTTAGCTAGATTACGTTTATGCTGAAATGTAAATAGGCGGGTTTTTTTTCTTCAGAACGTCTATAGATAGCGGTATACCACGTCATTAGGTGTATTGAGTTGGCTCACGTGATTTATGTTTCGTGCTTCAGAACTTAAAGAGTAGTTCACTTTTGAAAAAACTTTTGCTGATAATTTACTCACCCCCATGTCATCCAAGATTCAGTGGGAACCAAACGGTAAAAGGTCCAAAAGACACTTTCAGTTCAAAGGGCTTTTAACGATTCCAGACGTGAATAAGGGTCTTATCAAGCAAAACGATCGCTCATTTAATAAATACATAACAAAGTTTAAGTTTTACAAGCTCAAGTGGTCGCCTTGCTCAGTTCTGTGACGCACGTTTGTGACTCTCCTGTTCGAACTCGTTCATCAAAATGAACGAATCTTTCTCCGAGTCATTTGGTTCGTAAACAAACGAATTGGCTCGGAAAAAAGATTTGTTCATTTTTATGAACGAGTTCGAACAGGAGAATCACGAACGCTCTTCACAGAACAGAGCAAGGTGAGCATTTGAGCTTATAAAACTTAAACTTTGTTATTTATTTATTAAATGAGCGATCGTTTCGCTTGACAAGACCCTTATTCATCGTCTGAAATCGTTTAAAGCCCTTTCAACAGTTTGCAGTTTGTACTGAAAGAGTCTTTTTGACCTTGAACCGTTTGGTTCCCACTGAAGTGCATTATATGGAGAAAAATGCTGGAATGTTTTCATCAAAAACCTTAATTTTTTTTCGACTGAAGAAAGAAAGACATGGACATCTTGGATGACAGGGGGGTAAGTAAATTATCAGCAAAAGTTTTTTGAAAAGTGAACCACTCCTTTAAGGGTGCTGAGCATCGATACTCCCTGGTTTTCACGGTGCATTGTGGGACTTTTTAGGTAGTTTCAGTGCACTGGAAGGATTTTGTGATTGTGACAGCCTTTAAAATGTCCGATTCCCTGATCAGTGCCCTAACTATACACTAGCCAATTGAGATGCACCCATTTCATTCTTGAACAAATCAGTTAGATGGGTTTGTGAACCAGATGAACCGATTCATTAAAAAAATTCAATGGGTGATTTTTTTTTCCTTTTCTTCCCTAATGTGACATAGCCTATAACCAAGTGAACGGCTTCTGGAATGTGAATTAATGTATAGGGCGAGACTGGATTTCGTCCTGATCCAATTGATTAGATTGTAGGAAGGGGATGTTACTAAAGGCAGATCTGAATGTTTGCAGTCAGTTGTGGAGGATAATTTAGTGCCACCCTCCGCTGAGACAGGCGTCATGAAGAGTGCATAGGCCTTTGCATTTAAAAAAAAAATATTATAACAATGGTGTGCACGGATAAATCATTTATAATAAATAATGCAACGCTCTGTAAAACAATAGCATTGTCAATTTTGATTTCATGGAATCTTTAAGGAGAAATAAATGGACAGGCATAGTTAATGACCTGGTTTGAAATCAGTGACTCCAGGTCCAACACTCTCCACCACACCAGCGCCCTCATGTCCCAGCACTGTGGGAAAACCCCGCTTGTCCTTCCCTTCAAACAGGTGGTAGAGGTCAGTGTGACACACACCTGTAGCTACAACCTTCAAGACAGGAGAAAAACGTTTTAATCAATAAGTTAACGGTATCACAGTATTAACTGACTTTACAACTTACAAGGGGCATTTCCCACCTTGATTCGTATTTCTCCTTCTTGAGGTGGGGCGACTTCTATTTCCTCCATCATAAGGGGAGCATTGGGCTCCCAGGCAACGGCAGCGCGACATTTGATCACCTTTGGCAGAAAGAAGAGATCGGTTCAGCGTGTTTTTTAGATATTTAATGGTTGACTACTGGTGTTTATATAACTGCTCAACTTGAGCGCTTGCATGATCTACACTCTCTAACCGTAGTTGGAGGTTGTCCAGCTGTTTGGCTTAAGCAAATGGAAACATGAAACATCTGTTTTTAGAGCTACACATATCTGTGATTTCACAATAGCAGATAAATATTAACCCAATGAAATTGCCAGAGCACATTTTGTAGATTTAGCATGATAAAAACTGGCAGAAGGACCAATAAAATCCAGAAGAAGAAGGGGAAAAAAAATCTTTTTGAAAAGTATTTGGGAAAAAATCGTCACCCCAGTTTTACATGTGACATCTAAATCTCTTATACAATCTAAAAAAACAAAACAAATTTAGGTAAAATAGGGACAAATACCAAATGTTATGTTAAAAATGAAATTAAAAAATGTACAGTTGAAAGTGAAAGTTGGGTTAAAATTTGACAATTTTTTCCATATTTTACCCAAATTTCGGTTCAAACAACCCAGCATTGTTTAAAATGTATATATTATATAGTCTTTATATACTCAGTATTATTATTATTAGCAATTCAGCAAATCAATATTGCATCACAGCATATCAAATACACAAGTTTTAAATTGTGAATTTTATACAAGGCATTGATCTGACATATTTTATTCAGTTTTGGCCTTAAGCCTGGATTAAAGCATCTAAAATAGTCTTATGAGAGTCTTATTAAAATTTTGGCATTAAATTGATTCTTATTTGAATCTGAATCTTATTTGCTGATGTATTTGCATTGTAAATCTTTCCTCATCAAGAGGTCAATGGAAATGAGCATAAAGGTAGAAAGGGACTGAAGTCATATTAAAAATGCATTAACTGCTCTGGAGCACAAATGAAAAGAAATTAAAAGACAAATTTACGAACCTTCCCTGCTGTGGCCATTTCCCAATGTAGACGTTGCTGAGATGAATGCAAAGAGAGACGGAGAATCTTTGGCACTCGCTTTTATATTCTGGATGAAGCCATTTCTCTCCTCTCTCTCTCTCTCTCTCTCTCTCTCTCAACTAAAATGAACATATTATTAACTATATATACATAGTCAAACCAAAAATTATTCAGACCCCAGATATCATTTTTTTTTTTGCACCACCAACAGTTCCTAGAGCAAACACCCTACCCAGAACATTTATAGTTTAAACAAAATGTTATAAATATGTATACTTAGTATTTTCTGACTTATTTATTTAGGAAGAGAGAGGAATTGGAGACTAATAATTAGGGCGATATAATAATAATAATACCAATATCATCATCCCTACTACCACCATCTTTAATAAAAATAAATAGCAATAGTAATAATATGCAGATTTTAAACAAAAGTACAGCTCACAAACATTATATATATATATATATATCCACATATATATATTATATATCTGTGTATACATACATACATACATACATATATACACACACACACATACAAGCAAATACATATACAGAAACATATGCATACATACATATAAGGACATATACGTATGCTGAATAATTGTAGTACTGTATAGTAATACTCAGAGATTATTCATTATTAATTTGTAAACATGTGGTTGGGAGAGTGCATTGTCCCGGTTCCAGGTCACTGATTTATATGAAGATGAGTTAGGAATGGTTTCCAGATATCAAGAAATGTAGATAAAATATTCTTGTTAGTGTATGTTATTTTTTCTAATGTGATGTATTCTAGGATTAGTCCAGTGATTGATATGTATTGTTACAAATTTATTAAATGTTTAATTTAGATTCCAATATAAACTGAGAGTTTTCTGTACATAGAATTTAGCATTTAAGATTAGGATGGTGATTATATCCGGTATTGGTGAGATTACTGAAACTCTTAATGATTCTTTCCAGCTCAACCTGTTTTCTCTTTTCTCTATCAGCACCTGAAAATAGTCCCCAGCTCGGTAACTTCCAACGTGATGGAAGGTAGCCTATTTTCAGGTACCGCCAGAACCGGAGATCGGCTGAATGGATTCAATAACGGTAAAACTCAACATTTTAACTCTGGGGGAGTTGTAAAATGAGCCTATTTCCAAAAAAAAAAAAAAGGAGTATCCCTTTAAGATACAGCCCGAGTCTCCTGGCCTTCGCTCCTGGTCTTCTACACTTGAGAAGACAGAAGTTTACCACAGTATACAGTTTTATACCAAATATAATTTGAGATATTTTTTTACTAGTGGGTGCAGGACACTATAGTTCACTAACCATGTTTTTTTCTTGAATCGCTGATGTGACATTTTTACACAACAGACTGAACAAAATTAAGGATTGCTTGGTAATTGGTTGACCTAAATTGTGTACTTTTCTGGTACAAAAACTTTCTGAATTTGAAGATCAAGGTAAATTTTTCTTATTTTGTCAGCCGGGAAACTTCTGTTGCTTCCAAAGGGCAGTGCTAACTGAAAAAATGTGGACATCTTCATCCTGTTCAAAAGTTTTTGATGCTTTTCAATTAATACGTGTTTAAGTTCTAAAGATTTCTAGTAATAGTATATTGTTAAGCTTCTCGCTTCGAATTCAGGTCTTCCCAAAAGCAATGTACAGTTTGTGCTTTTGGAAAACACAGCCCAGATAATTTTGTAGATTTCATTGGGAAAGAGCACTAAAACAAATAATTTTAAACCATGATAATTTTATTATGATAGCCCAGTTTTGAAGCTCCCTTACATTGCAGAAAGATGTGAAATATAAAACCCAATTATTTCCATTTGATTAATCAAAGTATTCATCACAACCCACCACCATCCAAAAATACAGCATTGTGGCATACAGTAAATGATACGTGGGTGAAAAGAAATTATGGCACAGAAGATGCTGTTTAACACTGAAAATAATCAGATAGATAAAAGCAAAGTGTTGGCATTGTATCAGCAATTATGAATTGTAATATTATATAACAACCAAAATTTTATTTTTAAAATCAGTACCAAAAATAATTATATTCATAAATGATTTTCAGGAATATGAAATTATGTCATCTTGCAAAGATATTCACAGTTAAATAAAGAGCAGCTTAGCTTTGCTTAAAAAGTTAGAGTTCATTCAATAATCTTAAAATGTATGAAACACACACAGTAGGTGCAATAAAAACTGGCATTCATCTGTTCCTGAATATGGGTCATACAAAATATTATATTTTTGCAAAACTTGCATACTAAATATTTTACAGTTATGAAATTATCCTTTGATTTCATTGATACAGATATTGTAACATGATTTTTTTAAATGAACATTAGCAGATTAAACTGAATTCAACTAATAAGAATACCCAATAGGATTATACAGTGCATAACGTAGGTCTTTTCTTACGAGAGATTTGGCTTTAATACGGAGTCTTCCTCTGATTTAATTCATACTGTCAGAGGAAACACAAAAATATCCCAGGCAGCATCAGAACATTTCACATGCAGTAGTAATAACACATTCAAATTAACAGAAGGATTATTATTTCCTGGTATATTTCCCAGGACATGTTAAGGGGAAGATGATTGCCCTCTAGTGCAATTGCAGAGAATGCAGGACTGACACCTGGGCAAATAAGAGTAATACATTCAACAGCAGTACTATGGTCATTTTAATGACCATGTAACTGCCATGTACAACTGTCATGAGAATCCGGTTATATTTATGCTCTTTATCCTGAACTTTAATTTAAAACTAATAATAGTCAGCATATCAATATGCACCCATTTTGTTTATGCAAATATTTAAGGGAAGCATGCTTTTCACAAATACCCATCATAGATAATGCACAGTTCACACCTGCACTCAGACTGGAGGAATCATTCCTGTAGATTAAGTAGATCCTCTGATTATCTTTAATAACTTACCCTCTTGAACATACCCACTTAAAAAGAAGGCAAACGGCACAGATCCAAGTATAAGGTTTGGGTAATACGTTCAAATGACATTCACAAAGCTCAGTTTTTGTAGAAAGAAGTCTCTCCTCTCTTTCACTGGCACAGGCTGTGAGTGGCAAATGCACCTTCAATGCACCGTCTGTCCGTCACTTAACATCTGTTATTTCTGAATATAAATGATAACGATGCATAGAGTTCCCACAAGGCCGAGGGCTTGGATACCAAGAAACCAGAGCAGCAACCAAAAGACCAGCACGACCACAGGCTCTACAATCTTCTCTCCAAAGTAAAGCTGTGTGAAACCAATACCCCTCAGACACTTATTGAGCTCCCCGAACAGAGTGCCCATCTTTTCACAGTCGTCCACCAATGGAGCCTCTGGCACAGGTCCTTCTGCTGCCCGTGGCCCTGCTGCAGAGGCTTCATGTGGTCTTTCTCTTCCCCTTAGGTCATTCTGAGAACAAAGACAGAATTTGACTAAATTATACAATGTTTTTTTAAGTAACACAAAGCAGAAAGTGGAAACTACTGTAAGATGACACCACATAACCATGAGTGAGAGTGGGGGTGTTTATATGTTTGTATGTATAAGATAGGCAGGCAAAAAAAAAAAAAAAAAAAAAAAAAAACAAGTTGGTATACCTAGGTTTATTATTTACCTATGGTAAGCTAAAAATATATATTGTTTCTGCTTAACAGATTAGACTGACTGGCTTATGTTATACCAAATGAATGTGACATTGCTATTCATAGAGCAGGCAGTGGAAAGCTGTTGATAAAGAAAGGGAGAGGCAGGGCAATGTCTTACAGATAACAAGTTACAGATAACAGAATATTCCGCCATTTCCGGGTAAAAAGTGAAAGGAAGGAAGATAAATACAAACACGCAAGTCTAAAAACTGTATTATTATATTTAAATGCAAAATTGTTAGAGCTGTATGAGATCTGACAGTCTTAACGTACCTGTTCGCTGTGTGTGGGTCTAACGGCACGCTCGCGCTGGCAATGACACCCGCTTCGATCTCGCGTCCCGCATAAGACATCACGATGACGTACCTCCGTATCATTTACTATCCTATTAGTACTTGACATATTCCTAAAAACAGAAAGATTAATGCTGTCCTGAGATAGGGCCGAGGGGCTGAGAACCAGATGGCTGCTAGCGACACTTCCGGTCTTTGCTGTCAACAGAAGGTACATCCTGACGTCATTGGTCAATCACGGTGCAAGTCATAATAAAAGATTTATCATCCTACATAGCGGGAATTGTTGTGTTATGTTTAATAATATTGTATGTATTATAAAAAGAATGTATTTTATTACATTACATTAATGATATGTCCTTTATGTAGATGTGTGTAATTGTCCACATTTTCTTTCTTTTTTTTAAGGTCTAGCCTGTTTCATAGTATAATTATTCATTAATAAATCCGCAGTAGCAATATGTACTGCTATTAAATTGCAGGCTGTGCGTCAAAACCATGTTCTTTCGACCAGCTCATTTAAAAGAACCGACTGAGAACGATTTTACATCACGATTTTAATCACATTTTGGTTTGTCATACTCACCTTTCCAGTGAATTCATATATCGTTTCATATTTCTGTGTACTGTTTCAATTTTATTAACAATTATGTTTATTGTAATTTCAGTTTACTGCAAGGCAGCTCTGATTCAGCTCATAAAAACAAGTCAACTAAAGCTAAATATAATTTGTATTTACATTTTATCTCACTTTGAGATGGTTCTCACTGCAGAACACGAAATCCAGGGGGAGGAGTTGAATCCAGATCCTTACAGGCACATAAACCTACCCATCTCCGCCCCCTGATCCATAACCCCACCCCTAATCGTACCCATCTCCACCCCTTAGATCTGGATCCAACTCCGCCCCCTGAATCTCGTGTACGGTACTTGGCTTATTTTAGATACACGCACACATACTATTCCTGTTAAACCGTATACTTTTCCAGATACAGTCTGTGATTTATTCATATAAAGGGGGGGGGGGGGGGTGGGGGGATCAACATCTCAGGGACGTCTTAAGTTATTTCTTATACGTCCAAATGAGGCGTTCAAAGAGTTTATTTGAGAACTGTGATTCATGAACGTTTGTGAACTGGCTCTATCAATTCACTTTCAAGAACCGATTCAAAAGAATGATTTGTTCAGATAGCCAAATCGTGTTCGAATTGTTTTTGGTAGGCGTCTCGCTACGTTTTTTTAAACACAGCCTGTGATTCGCTCTTAGTACTGTGTCAGCCAATCAGAGCGAAGCACTGAAGTGAAGCGTGAACGTCCCTTATGAGGCCTGTGATGTGAACGACTCACTTAAAATGGCGACGGTGGAGCCGGTGAGTAAATAAACTTCACAAATATTATTTTACACTTTTCTGTCTTTTCACGCTAAACTACAAAACGGCATTCATTTAACAATACGTTTATACTTAGTTTTATGCTAAACTGTCGTTTAAATGTGATCCTCTGAAAACTTTTAAAAAGTTTTTCGGCTTGTTTGAATGTATAAAGTTTGGCTGAAAGTTGATAAGGCTTGTTCCAGTCACGTCAGGATTTAATTGCTTTTCCAGATGTCTGTTCGTCACTACTACCCTTCATGCATGTAGCCACAATTTTAATCTGGTTTAATTTGCTTTCTGGAAGAAAGCGAACCCGTCACAGCACAGCTGTCAAAAACTAAGACAGCGAATGAGGAAAGTGAAGGGAATGGTATTGTAACGACACCATGCTGGATCAAACCATGAAAGCTGTGTCAACCACAGTTTATTCACAGCTGTTATAATTGGAATGAATGACAGTAATGAATGACTCTAAACATTTCTAGTTCTCTCACACAGCTCAGGTTTGATTAAATTTGAAGGTTAAAAAAACTAACAGTGACTAAAGTCCTCGACTTGCAGCAGATACAACACAATCACATTAAGTACCAGGTATTGCACTGGTCTCAGGTGTTGAATCAGTTTTGTTCTTTACGCTTTATTTAATTTAATAATGGAAAATAAATGATTGTTGTCTACAGTAATACAGTAAGTCCAACAGTTTGTGTGTGAGTGTGTTCACACACTGGCTGCTTTGATGTGAACTTTAATGTATTAGGTCAAAGAACTAATCTTTAAAATTTTCCTGCCCAGGAAATAAACTCAAATTCTTGCAAGAGTGAAGAGAACTCAGAAGAGACCAATCAGGAGATTGTCAGCCCTGAAAGCTACATCAAACATCCTCTACAGAACAGGTCGAGTGAATGAATGCACTGGTTTTTAGGGACATGCATGTTATTTCCAATAAAACGTAAAGTTCCTATATTTTTTATTTTTTATTATATACAAATGACACATTTCCTCTGTAAAATTTTATACTTTAAGAGTATTGTTTAGATTTCCAGATTTCCAGATTCTGTAAAAATGTTGATTTTATTTATGTTTTCCCCCTAAAGATGGTCTTTATGGTTCTTCAAAAATGACAAGAGCAAAACATGGCAGGCCAATCTCAGACTGATCTCCAAATTTGACACAGTAGAGGATTTTTGGGCGTAAGACTTTGTTTTTGTACCAAGAGATAAGCATAGCCAAAATTTCAGTCCCCCTTAATTTAGTTTATGAATCTCTTCTAGGCTTTATAACCACATTCAGCTCTCCAGTTATTTGATGTCAGGATGTGACTATTCTCTTTTCAAGGTAGGCTTCCATCATAACTGCTATGTAATTTATGGGATAATTCACCCAAAAGTAAAACAAATGAAATGATCATCATCAGCTTTAAATTAAAGCTCTGTTACCCAATATATACAAACACATTATCAAGACTTCAAGAACTAATTGACTCATTGCTAAGCCGCTGCAAAATATTACTGACCAATCTTACTGAGCATCTTTTGCCATCTGTCAAATTATCTGATGAGCTGTTCTTATAACTTAAGTCAATGGCTTGATTAAGTTGGTCAAGTGTTTGGAATGACTTTACAGATGCAATCCAAAAATATAGTGAAATTCAAATCTTAAAATAAACGTTAAACAGTTTATGCTGTGCAAGGTAATGCTACTTAATTATCTTTTTTTTTTTTATATAGATTCTTAATTTATTATTCTGTAATTTTTTAAAGATAAAACAAAACAAATAAAATGCTTTGCAGTGTCACAAATAATTTCAATCTGTCCGCTTTTACCTTTTTATGAGCACTTTTACATTGTTGTTCTATTTGTGGAGATCTCCAGTGGAATGTAACCAAGGAGGGTGGAGTTTAAGGGTCAGTTGCCGGAAGCATAACGTTTGCAAAATATTGTTTTGTACTTTTATTCTTTTTTTGAAAGTACATTTTTGCTTTAGCGTTGCTTGCTGCTTTCTAACGGTAGTGTACGAGATACTCCAGATTGCTGTGGTCTTTGGTTTGTGCTTGGGTTGCAGGATGGTATTGAGCCCATGTGGGAGGATGAGAGGAATAAAAAAGGAGGCCGCTGGCTCATCACTCTCAACAAGCAGCAGAGGAAGTATGACCTGGACCGCTTTTGGTTGGAAACTGTAAGAGTTCTGAGTTAGTCACTGAACACCCCCTCAACATGCACGCAAGTAGTTCATGTGCTTCTGTAGCCCTGACTCGTAAACACTCACCTTTGTCATTCCTACAGCTGCTGTGCCTCATCGGTGAGACCTTTGACGACTACAGCGATGAAGTGTGCGGGGCTGTTGTCAATATCCGAACGAAAGGTGATAAAATCGCCGTCTGGACATCTGATTATGAGAACAGAGAAGCTGTAACGCACATAGGGTAAGACTCTAATGCATTCATGCTACATATAAATCAGGGGTGCCCAGTGCCTGATCAAGTTATTCTGAAGATTTTACCTAGCTGGTTCAGTTGAGTTTGATCACGTTTAGTGCTGAACTTTGCAGGAACAGGATTGGGCACCCCTGATATAAATGCTAAAATACTCAACCTGGTACAATGTGTAATTATGTTTGTTTGGCAGGAGGGTGTACAAGGAACGGTTAGGCATCCCTATGAATATGACCATTGGCTACCAGTCTCATGCTGACACGGCCACTAAGAGTGGCTCCACTACTAAGAACAAGTTTGTGGTCTGAATATCTTCAAGGGCCTGAATTCTCCTTCCCTCTCTCTATCTCTCTCTCTGCCACTTAAAACCAAAGCAACAAAATCAGACTGGACTCCGAACTGCATTTTTTGCAAAAGCCCTTTACAAACGCACTTCTGGGCTTCTGCTGTACAAATGAGGATTGCAGCACAGACAAAGTTTGAAAATAACAGTGTTGCTTATTACATTCAAACACATTTTATAAGTATTACCATGTACCATGCTACACTACCCGTTCCCACCAAACATTCACATCACTACAGTTTCGCTAAGAAAAATAGTATTCAAAAATCACATTCAATGTTTACCCCTGGCAAGTCTTGTTATTTAAGTATTTAATGATTTTTTTTTTTTGTAAGAAATTGTCAATTTATTTAATGGCAGAGGAAAGGAAATGTCTGTCTTCTTTTATCCAGCAGCTTTGCTGCTTCAGTGCCTATTGAACATAAACACCTTTAATTTATTCAGATTAATCCTCAATATTGAGAGGGTATTTGGCCATTGAGTGCATGTAACCAAGCTAATCTACATAGAACTGCCATCTTTAAAGCATTAACATGATTAAATTTGGGGGTTTGCAATTCAAGAAGTGTTTTTTATATTGTGAGTTTTTGAGGCATCATAAGTTTACATTCCTTATTAGAACAGTAAACTGTGGGACTTTTTTGCAATGCTGTAATAGAATTTTGCTTGTCTGGATGTCATTGGCTTGAGTTGACTCTTCAAAAAAAATAGCAGCATTATCAAATAGGCCCTGAAAATAAAATAGATTCATATCGATTCAATTTATTCCAGGCGTCTTGGTATTTATCACCACAGTGATGCTGAATGTTAATGGGCAATTCATTATTTTCATTATTTATATTCATTATTTATTAGAGCATCAAATCTCACCAAAGTAGATAACAGAGGTTGGCATCTATCTATCTATCTATCTATCTATCTATCTATCTATCTATCTATCTATCTATCTATCTATCTATCTATCTATCTATCTATCTAGCTAGCTATCTATCTATCTATCTATCTATCTATCTATCTATCTATCTATCTATCTATCTATCTATCTATCTATCTATCTATCTATCTATCTATCTATCTATCTATCTATCTATCTATCTATCTATCTATCTATCTAACCATCTAAACAGCTCACATTTTTGTAGATCACTTTAGCCTTAAATAACATTTAATGTTAAAAATACCTGTTTTTCTAACCCATACATGCTTAAACAATTGCCTGCTCTGATCACTGCGATTGCCTCTATAATCCTGTACAGTAAAATAAATAAGAGGGATTCGGGACAGAATTTGAGACCGGACGTGGCGTCATGCGCGTTCACGCTTACCTGGCTATGTATGTCAGGTTTGTGTATTCGCCGCCATTCTCCGTATCAGAGAAGACAACTCGAGCGACAAAACTTTAGTCAACATTCGACAAAAGTAGAAGATGGATTCAAAGAGGCCGGCTTGTAGTTCATTCCAAACCCCAACGCAAACTCCACGTAAGACAAAGAAAATAAAACTTGTGTCTAGTGCCACCAAAAGGGCCAAATTGGAGTCAGACAGGTGTCGGAATAAGACGAGAGTCAACATCAGGAAGGCTTTCAACAAATGAATGTCTATAAACAAATGAATGAGAATGTCTATAGTGTAGAGGCTCCACCGTATGTCCGACGTAGAAGTATAAATCAGCCTTAATTGTCGAACTGCTTTGCGGCAGTCATCTTGTTCTGGGTCTGACTCCGGTTCAAACTGATGCGATTGCACAGATGTGTCCTCAGAGACTCCCGCTACCATCCTTTCTCCAAAATATATCCTCAACTGTAGTAAGATTCGGTGCAATGTGACGTAGAACTGCGCTAGCCCCACCGACGTGGTTTGATTGACTGTGGTTTTTGCATAGACCTGGCCCTCTGTTATCTGTACACAATCCTCCATTGTTTTAACAACTGTCGGTGTTCTGACAATTTGTGCTGCCTTGTCAAAAATGTCTCCTAAGCAACGCAAGTGTTCTGTTGTGGGATGTAATAATGGACGTAGTAGTTTTCACTTACTTCCAAAATCAGAGCCACTGAAAACGCTGTGGGTGGATTTTATTTACGAGAGAAATTGCCTCTTAAACTTCCAAAATAAGTTTATGTTAGCGCAAATCATTTTCTGACTTGATTGTTTTGTGAACGAGGGTAAATTCAAAGCAGGTCTTGCTTCAAAGTTGTAGCCATCTTCTCACATTTACCACATTAGCACCTGTACGACAAGTAGTGTAAACATGACGCGACGGATTCCCTCGCATAAATGTAATTTCGTTTGTACGTATCAAACGTTATCACAGTATTTGTGTTTGTAGTTTAAAAAAAATTGCGCCAACCTTATCACAGTTTGTGTGTGTGTGTTGCGCATTCATAATTGCAAAGGGGACGCGATTACAATTCTAAGTACTTAAATGTATCAAATAACCATTCCGAGACGTCCTGGTCCATTCTCACTTGTGTTTATTCTGCCGGAGTCTCTTCATCATCTGGGTCTGATTCCGGTTCAAACATGTACGGCTGAATGCCGTATATTACAAAGTTTTCAAGTGTCATTATACAACCCCTTTAAGATCTTTTTAATGTTTTTGAGAATTCTCTTATGTTCTTTTATTTGTGAATTATTACAATTTAAAATAACTTTTTAACTTTAATGTTTTTTAAAATATAATTTATTCATGATTGCAAAACTGCATTTTCATTTTCTAAATCTTTTGTAATAATATGAATGTCTTTGTTCAAGTTAATGCATTTATTTTTATTCTTTTTATTTTCTATCTTCCTTTTATTTTTTAAATCTTAATGATCCCAAACATTTAAATGGTATGTAGTTTTGGTTAGAGAAAACGAAACCTTATTTTATAATGTTACCATTTACTTAGGTGGCATGTTCTGTTGCGTTGCGGAGTGATCTTTTTGTGTTTAGTGACTTAAGTGTGACATTATGATTTTAATGCCGTTTCAACATACTTTTATCAGTATGCTTTAATAGTCGAACAAACAATCTGGGAGGGGTCCCCGACAAAATCAAATTTAACAACAAAACTCATTTAGTGATATAGCATTAAAAGAGTATTCTGGTTTAATGGTTGGGATCCAGGGTAACTAATAAAACTGCAGATTTCAATAGTTTTTAGTATCATTTTGATGTCTTCTGGATGTTTATGTGATGCTGGCCAGCAGGGTAATGAGATGACATTCTGATGTGTTGTTTGTTTGAGCTTTCTCACTTCACACCTCTAGCATCTCTAATGAGAGACCCTTGAAACAGTCTTATTAACCCTTACAAAACTCTAATGAGGAGCATGCAGTTTGCTCACCAATTACCGCTCTCAAGCAGATGGAGTTATGCAGTGTTGAAATCTTAATTTAGATGTCTGTTTTTCATGTAGTCTGAATACTTAAGTGTGCATTGATACATACTCATAAGTAGAAGGCAGAGAGGACTCGTATGAAGGAAAAGCTAATAACAGTCAGACCTCTGAACTACGTTGAGATTCAAATGGGCAGTGAGTGTATTATACAACTGTTCTAAAGAGGAAAAGAGCCACCAGGCATATGTCTTTGGCATTAAACCATATCCAACCTCTGAATATCATATATAAATGGGTATTCACTAGGCAGGATGCTCTTAGGCCAAGTCATGTCTCATTACTTGTTTGTTCTGGCCTCTAGCTATCAGAGAGCATGAAAGCATTTTGATTGTTGCAGCAATTCTGACATGTGGCTTGGGGTTTTTGCCAAACATTTTCAGTATTTTAACACTGGTGGCTGTGATGTATGTAGGGAGAGATTTTATTTATAAATGTCTATAACTCTATAATATATTGAAAATTAAATTATTTAAGCAATCTATTTTATCAACATTAAAATTTTCAGGTTAAAATGTATATAATATTAGGCCATACTAGTACATTTAAAATGGCCTTTACAAATTATATATATATATATATATATATACTCTTTTGTAAAAGCTTTCCACACGATTTTGGAGTGTTGTGGTAATTTTTGAATATCCATCCAGTAGAGAAGTTGTGAGGTCAGGCACTGATGTTGGACGAGAAGGTCTGGCTTGCAATCTCAGTTCCAGTTCTTTATGGACCTTGCATTGTGCCAAACCCAGACTCGCCCATCAGAGACATGTTTCCTCTTCTCCAGAGTTCAGTATTGTGAGGCTTGCATGCAGCTGCTTGGCCATGGAAACCCATTCTACGAAGCATTTGCCGCAGTTTTTGTGCCGATATAATGCCAGTGGATGTTTGGAACTTTCCAGCATGGAATCAGCACAGCGTTGGTGACTCATGTTCAGTAATTAAGAGGTATGTCCCAATTCTATATATTATATATACAGTACTGTGCAGAAGTCTTAGGCACACTAGTATTTTCGCCTAAAAGAAATGGTTTTAAGCCAGATATATTTTGTTGTAGTGTCTCAGTAGGAAATATCAGTTTACATTTCCAGACATTAATTGTGCCATTAATTGTAATAATCCAGTGAAATTTTTGAATGCACAAGGATTCTGACAACAGCCAATGCTCCACACGGAGGTCGGATCTCACCATCATCGAGTGCATCTGAAATTATATGAAGAAACACAAAAAAAAACAGACTAAGAAGAACTGCGGCAACGTTTCCAAAGACGCTTGAAAAAAACTGCAAAACTAAAAACTATGTGCAATACCTGGACAAAAGCTGTTTTAAACGTAAAGGGTACTAAACACCTATTGATTTGATTTAGTTAACTGTTAAAAGTTAATAATAGTTAACTAATAAATTGAATTGATAAATAAAATCTATTTATGATTATGACATTATTTTTGAAAACGTTCTCATTTACAGCATTTTTACACAAGTGCTTTTACACAGTACTGTAGCTTTGCAGGCAGGCAGGCACTACCTTCGAGACGTTGCCACAGTTCTTCTGGGTTCAGTCTCTTTTTTTTCTGTTTCTTCATATAATTTCAGATGCACTCGATGATGGTGAGATCCGACACTACAACAAAACATAAATAACTGGCTTAAAACCAATGTAATATTTAAAAATATTACTATTTACTATATTTTTGACCAAACACTGTAAAAAGATATTGTTGGTTTAACTTAAAAAAGTAAGTAACCTGGTTTCCTTAAAATTTTAAGTTGATTGAACTGGAAAAAGTGAGTTGATAAAATGGAGATTAATTTAATCATCAGAAACTCAAAATAATAAGTTATCTCAACTAAATAAATTATTTAAGTTGATTTGACAAAAGAAAAAATTTTGTAATAACAAATGTTGAAAATATTTTTTTTTACAGTGTGGACCTTGGTGCATGAGTATAAGAGACTTAAAAATGTATTTTGAACTGTAGCACACACACTAGGTTTAGAGAAATTCTAAAATTTAAGTTGTTTTTTTTTTTTAGTCAAAGTGAAAAGATTGAGTGTTTTTAGTATACTGAAAAGAAAACATTTGTCTTGAGTAGGCTATCTTCAGTCACATGCTTGGATAATTGTCCCTTACACAATATGCACTTTCCTGTGCAATATTTTCATCTGCCAATACAATAACCTAAATTTGAAAGTAATATACTTGAAGAGTGTGGGAGACAGATCTGTGAATATTATGATTAATGGCCACAAGATGGAGTCTTAAGCTTCACTTTGTCTCTGCCAATTATAGTCACCCCCTCACTGACTGAAGAGCTTGTGCCAGTACAGATCACTGCCACTGCTCTCAAGTTCACATGACTTTTCTGTTTGTTTGAGGAAT